TACAGTCTGACGGCCATTGATTGTTTGTCAAAAAACGTAATTTATTGACAGTTTAATGAATATTGGAACTGACCTCAGAACAACTGATGTGCTTGTATTAATTAAGCACCTTATCCAATCGTTACCCAGTCAATTCAGGTCATGTTTCTCAACATATTTTTATATCTAGACTTTTATGCCAATATGAGCGTTGTTTGGTTCTTAATGATATCCACTGTTTTCTTAGTTTGGGGATTGCTTAACCAAATGCACACTATTTAATCAAGAAGAACGGAAGCACACTAAAAATAATACATAAAACAACGTCAATAATGTAAATTGAGAATCATTTAACCTGAATGTAAACCTCAATGGAGTGAAAGTGGTGAAAAGCGAGTTGGTCGCGACGGCAGACAGGCTGGCGTCACTGAGGGTAATATAATAGTTGTGGTGGTGGGGGGGGGGGGGGTGGGGGGGTCAACCAGCGTGTTATCGACTGTCAGCACGACCAGCTGAAACCCCGCCACGGTGGAAGACACTATCCTTGTACAACACACAAATAATTAAAGGGATTTTGCGGTAATTTTCCATCTCGATTAGTGTGATTGATTACTAATTGCGATGCAGAATGTCCGCAATAATCCCTTAAATAACATTAACTTACTATCACCAAAATTAACTTCATAGATAATAATATTATGGCCTGGATTAGAGACCTGAAATGTAACGGAGAAATCTTATCAAAATCAGACATTTATCCCCGATCATATTGGGTAACACTAAATAATGGAAGATGGCTTAGAAGAAATCGATGGCATCTAACACTATTGCCATTAGAAGAAAGAGTGAATATTGAACAGCCTAATACAATCCCTCAGGTACCTGATCAGAAAACCCACAACCCTTCTCGAAGAAGTCAGAGACTCCTAAGAAGACCAAAACGATATGATTAAAAGAAGATGTGTGACAAAGGGAGATGTGGTGTTATTATTAATTAACCATATGTTTAATGTTTAAAAGATCAGATGAACTGTTTATTTATTATTGTTGTTTACCTTTTGTTTTTAAGATGAGTTATTGAAATTACTAGATAAAATACTGTTCCTAAAATGTTGATTTTGATTTAATAAATAGTTTCTTCACATATCTTATCTGTAGTTGTATCCTTATTACTGTAGTTTCTTTTGGGATATTTATATGATCTGTTTTATCAAATATACATAATTAAGAGGGTAGCCAAGTCATTATAGTGTTCGCCTTACAAGCAGAAGGTCACCGGTTCGATCCTAAAAAATGGCTTTACTGTATGCTTGACCTAGGCAAGCATAAAGCCATTTATGCTCCCTAAGGGAGCACACATCCTCACCAAGAGACAAAAAAGCATAGATGCCCCCGCTATGCTTACGACGACTCCCGACATAACCACTAAGTCATCGTAAGGCGAGTCAACGAATCGTACAAGTAGTGGACTACAAATACAGTAAAGCAGTAGCAAACTACAGCAACTGGGCTTCTCACTAGTACCACACTGTTCTGGTTTCTCATATTATTTATATCTCACATGATATTCAATTTATACTTTTTTGTAGCCTTCAGAATAGTAGAATTTCTAAATAATAAAGGTTAGGTACCTTAAGCCCATGTGCAATGCATCTAAAAGCAATTGCATGGATTGATGCTATATATCATTTAAAACTTGAACATCTAGTAAACCTATCGGTAGAAATGTATTAGTTTTACAGTTGTTTTTACGAATATTGATACTAAATTTACGAAATATGAAACATGTAAACGAAATATCTTTATTTAATACTAATACTATTTAATAATTTAGTTTACAGTAGATCAATACCAACTGACTACAAAATACATTTTTTACTTTTCTTGGTGCACAGCAAAATGTTGCTGATTGATATTTAGACCGTTTGAAGAGTTAATTAATCATTTACTTTCGTACTTGGGGATTAACTTATTACATTATTATATCACTAAACTACAATGAGCCGGTTGGGCTTGGGGTTGGGGCAGTTGGCAGTAGGAAGGAAACCTCAATCAGGAAGTTCAGTCAGTGAGCGCATCCCTCTGTTGACTGTTCAGTCTTCACCAGTCATTTTATTCTTCGTATCCTTTACTGGTATGATCCAACAACGTCAAGACTTATAATACCACCTTATAATAATATATTGGTGTTTATTTATTCTATGGTAATTGCCAATACTAGTGGGCGAGTTATACGCACTGGGGTCGCAGACATAATGTCGTCAGACACGTGGTGTTTCTGAAGACATTGGAAGATAAGTTACATAGGAAAATAAGAGGGGTTAAGTTTCGCTTCGGTATTGCTAACAGAATAGATCTATTGAAATTTTGTAAAAGTCAAACAAATTAAATTAATCCGTGTAAACAAAGCTGTAATAAATCGTATATAGTATCACCAATTCATTAAGTTTTCTTTTGAAAAATGAAAGTACTTATGATACTTGGTGCAAATAAAACTAAATAGTGTTGCACAATATTTCTTGTACGAGAGTGTGAGAGTGAGTTGGTCGTTGTATAATGACTTTTGTCCCCTATCCTGCCTAGCCCTAACGAAGACGTGAAAGCACCCTTTGCCAATCTCTCCAAAACCCACTTCCCAGACTTGACTAGCGGGGGTGGTGCCGGGCCGGGGCGCTATCGGTTGTCATGGTAACTGTCCCACAACCCCATACTATCGTCCTACTGCCGTACATACCATATGAGCTTTCCTACATCCTGCAAAAAAAGGTATACAAAACTACTGTTTTTTTGTTTTTTTTTTTAACTTTGGTAAAATGATATAAAAATAACATTGTATGTACAGGTTTTACAATAAATGCATTCTCCTCAAGACGATTAGTTACTTCGACGTGTGAGAGTTTGCACAATACAATCTTGTATAGCATTAGGACAGCGTTGGACTAGAGTTTTTTGTTTTTCTCTTTTGTTTTAGAAATATCTGCATTTGATGTTTGTGTATTGGTTAGTACAAAATCAAAACAACAAGTACAGATAGCATATCTACCATCCGCTCACAGATTAGAACGATTAGAACTTTGCTGATAGTTTTTATAAAATTATAATATTGTCCGTGGAAGTTACGTTTACGGACAATACCAGACATTATATGTCAATGTAGGGACAACGTGACTGATAAACAGGAATGGTAAAACGGGTAAACCCAACTGAGAACCCTCCCTCATCAATATATCAATCAATATTGGTTGATGTCTCTGCAATATATTTCGCAACGCAAACAAACCTTAACAAAGATTTTTTTATCACAATTTTATTTACAATCTGTTCATTTTTAGAACATTCAGCAAATACAATAACAATTATTAATAAAACGTTAGTTAATCTCTGTCCATTGACAGAGCTAACTTAAAATATTTCAGGAAGTAAATAAACATGGGAAAATTTAATTGTTCAAACAAAACGTGAGCTTAGATCCAAAACATGAATCCTTTTTAGCCTGTATATACTGGTACTGTTGTCCAAGAGGTTTAGAGCCAGGTTATTAGGGTGATTTTCAAGTTTCTTTAGATATTTTGCACTAAATTTGGTTATTTCCTCTTCAACCGTAGGAATTCCACTGTCCTTGTGAAGGATATTGTTGTTAACATACCACGGGGCTTGCAGGATGAACCTTAAAACTTTTGACTGAAATCGTTGGATATGAACCCGTACCTGAATAACAGTTTTATAGTCTATGTAGTCAGCCAATATGGCAATAATAATAACCCCACCGCAGCAAGCCTGCCGACTAAGCGAATTTCTATCTGTCTGAATTGATTTTCAATTTAATATATTTAAATAACGTTAGGTTTAATAGTAGCCAACCTAGGTTTGCTGCTACAAGGAAACTAATAAAGTGTGTTTTTAGTAAAGTATTAATAGCTTAGCATAAAATAAATAAATTTGCCAAGTTCGATCAACATATATCCATAAACAAGCAAACTACAACATTTCACAATATTCTCCATAAGAACAACACGGGAATTTTAAATTTTCAATTTTTTGAAGTCTCTCCGTAACTGTACAAAAACACTTTGATATACTAAATCATTTTTATAAGCTCTTTAAAAAGGTCTAGAGAGAAATTGGGAAATGTTGTGGTTTGAGGGTCAACAATGAGAAACCCCATTTTTTACCCCATAAAACCCCCCGTAAAACCCCGTTCTCATTGTCCAATCATGCTGGTTCGCGAACTCACTCAAGTTTATCCGGCCTTACACTTTTATACAGAATTTCATCAAAATCGGACAAAAATTACTCAAAGTTATCGCGTTCACGGACGTATATGTATAATATGTATAACAATTTAAACGAATTTTGTTTTTGGCCTCTGGGGACATCAAAATGAAAAAGTTAATCGGTCCCGAGCCTAGGTCTTACCATGCCACCTACGGCAACAGCTACTTCCCTATAGGGAAATTCGCTAAAACAAGGATATGTACCTAACAGAACGATTGACAACACATGGTAGGACCAAAGTCAGTTGGTTATCTCTGGTTGTGTGCAACAACGAAGGTCTTGTTGATTCATCGCCCAACCTTCAGTAACAGGTGACCTGTAGTCTGGCACGCTCCTCTAATCCTTTTACTCCCTTCCCAATAATCCTCCCCTGCTGTAATCCGCTTCTGCCGCCTTTCTACTTTAATCCTGGTTTGGACAATTAGCTCAGGAGAGTCCTCAGGAGGAACCTCACAGTTGAATAAATGTTGAATAAACTAACTTAGGGTGTGACTACTTCGAACTTATTTTCCTCTTTCGTCGAACGAAGCTTATTTTTTTTATGGAGGACGAAGATTTCGGAGTGTTTGAAATGTCAACAGCTGATTGGGGTAACCATAATTTTAGTGAAATGTGTTGAAAGTCGTATTGTATATTGTATCCATCATTTCATGTTACGGCAATGTATGAAATCCATTATTTCATGTGTTATATAAAGAGACAAGACTGTTCGATTTCGTTTGTAATTTCTGTGTTGTTTGTTTCAGTCGGACGGGAACACCTCGTTCCTGCGGGCGGCGCGGGCAGGACATCTTGACAAGGTGTTAGAGCAGTTGAAGAACAATGTTGACATCAACACTTGCAATGCTGTGAGTATCATCATTTTTAGGTATCATAAGAGATTAATACTGCCGTAAAACATTGACTTTTGACTTTTGGATATTGAAGTTGACATCCCGACTTGTTCAGCTGTAGCCTAGCCATGTTCAGATGTAGCCTAGCCATGTTTTATTACTAACTAAATTAAACTAATTTGCAGACCTTAAAAGAAAAAAAATATCTGTATATCAAACCGTTGTTCTTTAACCAACAGTTGCGGATAAATTCCAAAATAATTGTAAATTTTAAATTCTTGCGTGTATTTTTATGGAGAATAAATAAACTGTTGTAGTTTGCTCGTACAGGGCAGTATATTGGTACAGTAAAATTGGAAACGATTTTAAAATTAGTTCAGTAAAAGAAGAAATTACAAACAATAGGCCTAGTAATTATCATGTCAATATACTAAATTTACCAGGAAGTAGGTAGTATCGGGCAAAACTTGGAGACTATCCGAACAGTCTGGGTTATGTGTGAACAGATTAAATACTCCCGCCATTGCAAACCTGCAGATTAAGCAAATACCATTTGCTTAACGTAACAGCTGTAAACATTAGGCTTTTTCGACACAAATTCAGCATTTGGATGAAAATGAAATTACATACCTACGTAGAATTGACTTATTTATACTATGTGTAATGCTATAATCATTGATACGTCCATTTATTCGATAAGAGGATGAGAGATTATTTAAATATTTTTAGTAAAATACTAGATAATCTATTTTTTTAACAGTCTATAAAATATTTAGTTTGTTTTAGTGCAATATAATTTGTTATAACTAACAGCTGGTTGAATAAAATAATTTTCTATAGAACTATAAGGTTAGTTTATTTATTCTGTGATTTTGTCATTGTTTATAGGAAATAAGGGACGCGTTGCAGAAAGTCAACAGTCCCGGAAGGTCAAATAATTTATACCTGTGCCACTAGGTCAAAAACTACAATGTTTGCAGTGTCTGTAGATCAAAAATCCCAGTAAGTCAAATAGTACAGTTCGAGCTAAAAACGTGGTATATGTTAAAGCAATTGACTTATTGGGAATTTGACCTAATGCAACAGCAGTTTTAATATAACGAAATAAGATAAAATATAAGTTCAGTTTCGCTGAGTCAACAGTGCCGGAAGGTCAAAAGTATAATCTGTTAAAAACAACGATAGTCCTCTCGACGCATGACTTCAATAATTTCGCGTTTTGGTGTACTTAAAGTTGTGCTAAAATTTTGAAAATTGGCACAGAGCTTCTTGGTTAGTCCTACTCGATGACTATTTTGTTGAAACTTTAAACTATTTACCGATCTAATTAATACAAATTGATATGTATGGTGAAATAGTTTTTAAATCGTGATTTCTAACATGAAAAAGTTAGCATGCGAGATTTTTTGTTTGTTTTTGGGTTAGAGAGGATTTGTCTGTGGCAAATTTGTAGCCAAAAGTGTGTTGCGTAAAATATATTTTTTTTAATTTTTTACAATTAGTGGTTCAATAGATAACTTGGGTTGAAGAGGACGGCAAATTTAGCATTTCGCAACGCATGGAAAGAACTACATCGGACGATGCGACTGCTGATTGGACTTTTAATTTACAGTTCTAAGAACAAGAAAAAGATGAATATACAGATCACCAGTACATTCATATTATTTATAAAACATCTTTCTGTATTACCAGCTTACATTTTTCACTTAAAAGAATACATCATAAACAGGGTGTTATAAAAATAAGCGAGGAGATACTTTACCTAGTAATTCCTTGGGTCAAAATAAACAGAAAATCAAGGATAACATTTTTTCCAAAATCGTTTCGTTAACCAGATATCCACCATTTTGTATTTTTTACATACAAATATTTATCTTTGCACTTTTCCAACCGATGTTTATGAAACTTGGTATGTATGTTAAAATAGGAGAGACCCATGTTATAAAAAAAGATTCATCTCGATTCACCCTAAAATTTCAAAATTTAACACTTAACTACAATATAATATACTTTACTACACCACAATATCTACGTATCACCATAAATCTTTAACAAAATAAAACGTTAACATTTTTAAAATCCAAAGTAAATCAATATAATCTTTCTTTTTTGAAAAATATATTTAAAAAAAGGCGATGGTAAAATAACGACAGGCGAGTTTCGATCTGGGTGTTTCAGGTTTGAATCTAGGAGGATTTAACATTAATTAGGTAACATTAATGTTTAATCCTCCTAGGTTTGAACTGATTGAGAGGAATACATGAAACCGAATGGGGGAGGTAGCAACAAGTGCACTAGTATTTACTAGTGTCCAATTACAATTTCATGGATTTAACCAAAACCTTTTCTATTTCACTTATTTTCAGCTGTTAAATTTCAAACGATACGTTTTAGCAACATCATTAACGTTATTATCATCATCATCGTTTGAGTTTGGGTTTGCGGCAATGTATTTTTATGAATAAAACCTTTAATTTGATACCAAACTTGACCTCTGCTGCTATTAATTGACTGTATGCACTATTAATTAACAGCTGTGTCTAAGGATTATGTCGGCCTTAGTCACAAACAGGACAACAAGATCGCTCCACTCATCCCACACTCATCTCCATTCATACTTGGCTTAAAATGCATACATTTGTATGGTCGCCATTTCAAAGCAACATGGCTACATTATCAATGACAAACGTGGAAAACCTTATACGAGTGTGAGTAAGTCCGAAAACAGAGTAAGTCCGAAAAAAACTCTAAAAAACAATAAGCAATAAATTGCAAGAACCGTTGCTTATATCATTGGGTATACAACTGACGTGTATACTCAATGCTTATATCGAACGAATGTACATCGTGAGAATTTCCATTAGTTGTTCCATTTAGTTGTGTGTCCATTAGTATAATAGTTTAGTTGACTCTTTTAAAGTCAGCGGAAATTGTGATAATTTAATCCATTTTACCAAACAATAAAAATTAATGGACAAAGTACTGTATTTCATGAGCAATCATTGAAAGGGCCGATTGAAGTCCTCATCAACCAAAAGAATGCCTACTAAAGCAAATAAAATTGAGACGAACATGTAATGCACGAAATCAGGTGGTTCTTAAGTATGTGAAAAAATGTATCGCTATTCAAAAACAGACGGAAAACTTTTAAACATATTCGTGATAATGGGTGTAACATGGCTACATCATCAATGACAAACGTGGACAACCTTAATACGAGTGTGAGTAAGTCCGAAAACAACTCTAAAAAACAATAAGCAATAAATTGCAAGAACCGTTGCATATATCATTGGGTATACACTATCTACTGACGTGTATACTCAATGCTTATATGTATCGAACTGTTATATGTACATCGTGAGTATTTCCATTAGTTGTTCCATTTAGTTGTGTGTCCATTAGTATAATATTTAAGTTGACTCTTTTAAAGTCAGCGGAAATTGTAACTGTTGAAATAATGTTTGTGTAGTACTTTGCAATCCTACCAATGCTTATAGAATCATACGGTTACAATTTTCTGGTTAGAATATGTCGCATAGAGTGGTGACTACTGTATCTAGTTTTTTGAAATTCAGCCGCCATTTTCCAAAATGGCGGCCAAATTTGAAATTTCTTATGGAACACCCTATATTTTATCATGTTTTCGGATAGAATAGGCAATTTAAAACTTTTTTACCCTTGACATTTTTTCGATAAACCCACTCGTTTAGGAGTTACAGCCTATGGAAAAATGACTTCCGGTATACATTTTACATCATGTAGCTCATAAACAAGTAAGTTTATAGCAAAAATGCGAATAGTAAAAAAGTCTAACAATTGCATCCACATTCCAAAAAGACCATAAAATTCATTAAAAATATGAATCATATTATTTAAAAAATGGCGGCAAACTTGAAAAGTGGAAAACGTTTTATTTTATAGTCTTTAAGGAATGTAGATGCAATTCTAACACTAATTTACTTTTTGCAATTTTGCTCTAAACTTACTCGTTTAGGAGCTACATGATGTAAAATGTCAAATCAAATCAAATCATTTATTGTCCATAAACATATATATACAATGCATAGACAAAAGTCACCAATGTCAAAACAAAAGAAAAAAGAATACAATTTCAATGTATATAAAACAATATTACCTCTTAGTGTACAAACCTGGGCTCAACTTAGATCACTCAAAATGTAGTTTTCCAAATTGTTATGCCGAATCGGTTGGATCTGAAATTTTTGATGAATACGGTCTTTTTTTAACTAGCCAATTCTTCAGAGCAATTTTGAATTTAGTGCCTTCTAATTCCTTTATATTGTTTGGTAGGAGGTTGAAATAAATTGACCCCATCACAAAAGGACTTCGGCCAGTTTTGTTGAAATTCCTCCTCACACGGTGAAAATCATCCTTCCGTCTCGTGTCGTACCTGTGGATTTGACTATTTTTATTTGTGTGCTTTACATCATTTTTCACAAGCATAATTAATTGATAAATGTATAGTCCATACAAAGTGAGGAGATCTAAATTAACAAAAATATCTTTACAAGACCTTTTGTACCATACTTTGGCTATCAGTCTGATTGCTCTTTTCTGGAGAACAAAAATTGTATGTAAATTACAGTCGGGAGAACTTCCCCAGAAAATAAGGCCATAAGACAAGAAAGGAAATATGACACCAAAATAAATTCTTCTTAACGTATCTGTATCTAAATAAAAAGATATTCTTCTGAGGAGGCTGATTCCACTTAAAAGTCTAGATCTTACATGAGATATATGATTCTTAAAAGTTAAGGTCTGATCTATATATAGTCCCAAAAACTTACAGCACTCTTTACTTTCAAAGATCACATCATCCTTAACTAAATCTATCAGAGGAATGCCCGTACTACTCAATCCGAAAACTACAATTTCTGTCTTATCTAGGTTGACTTTGAAATTAATATTTTCAAAATATGAGCTGGCTTTATGTACAAATTCGGCCATGCCCTGCTTGAGTTCATCAAAAGACTGAGCCCAGCATACACCTGACGTGTCGTCGCATACATACTAATTTCAACCTTATTGATAGCAGGAAAATTACTAACATAGATATTATACAGATAAGGGCCCAAAATGGACCCTTGTGGGACTCCTGAAACAACATTTTTTTTTTTTTTTTTTTTTTTTGTACACCGCAAGTCTTTTTTCCATTGGCTGTTTTTAATTAATCTGCCATCCTCGTACCGAAGAATTAAATGTATCAATGGTCAGCATTACACATAGTATAAATAAGCCAACCATAAGTATGTATTTGAATTTTCTTCCAAATGCTGAATTTGTGTCACAAATGCTGAATGTTGCAGCTGTTATGTTAAGCAAATTATATTGTACTAAAAGCTAGCTAGAAGCATTGACTTATTGGAGAAGGTTAGCATCGGCTGCTAGACGTTTTAAAAACTAAAACTTAATTTATAAAAAACTGGGACACTAATTTTAAATTATGGCTTTGAAATTCCCTAGTTCTCAAAATTGTCTTTCTTTCAACACAAAACTAATGAAAATCCATCGTCTGGTTGATTCAGAATCGTGAAAAAATCCCATTTACGTTTTAATAGTATATATGATAGTTTGGACAGGTTTCAACCCTTCCGAGGCGTAATACATTTACACAGTTTATATGTAGACTACATTATAACTCATAAAATAGTTCTACAATTCAATGGATCTCCTTTTACAAACGTATATAATAACCAGAAATTTTCAGATCGTCCTTGCGGGTATTTTATGCCACAAATTTTGACGAAAGGCTATACCTATTTACAGTGTTGACCAAACAGTTGGCAAGAAGCATTAATAGATAAGCTATGTACCAAATATGATAATTTTAGCTCTATTCTAATTATGACAAAACACGAAGTAACTAAAAGCGAGAGAGGTCTACTTTACACTGAATCGACGTTCACTTTTATTGCTTTTGATCTTCCGGCACTGTTGACTCAGCGAAACTGAACTTGTATTTTACCGTATTTCGTTATATTAAAACTGCTGTTGCATTAGGTCAAATTCCCAATAAGTCAATTGCTTTAACATAGACCTCGTTTTTAGCTCGGACTGTATTATTTGACTTACTGGGACTTTTGATCTACAGACACTGCAAACATTGTAGTTTTCGACCTAGCGGCACAGGTATAAATTATTTGATCTTCCGGGACTGTTGACTTCCAGCAACATTCCCGAAATAAGTTATATATTCTGCATTGCTGTATACGAATCGAAGCTCATGAATCTTCAAAAGAAAGCTTATGAAAATTATTTTACTACCTACCTACTCAACTTTTTGAGGAAAGGTTGGGAAAATAACAATGAAAACATGTTTTAATTACTCTTGGCAGCTTTGTCTTTACTAAAAATTTAACTGCTTAAACTATGCTTGAATTAGTAATAGAATCAAGAATCTTTATTGCCTTTGATCCATACATATACAGACATTGGCATAGTCAATAAATTAAATAAATAAATACATTACATTCTAACAATAATTACAAATACTTACAAATGTTAAATTAACAGTAACGGTACATAGAGGTGGTGAACAATAACAATCAATAACATGAATTAAATCTTAAAATCAATAGTAACAGGACATGATAAAAAATCTTCTATTTTATAAAAAGGATTGGCAATAAGCCACTCAGATATTTTAATTTTAAATTGTTTCATAGTCACAAATCGAGCAGTGTCAGGCAATTTATTGGATTAAACATGAAATCAAGTCGTTGCATGCAAAAAAATGCATGTTGAACAAGTTATTAATGAACACACATTTAGAACTTTTAAGCAACCTTCACCCTTCACAAACCAAGAATGTGTTATCGGAATTGGATTCTCAAATCAATAGAAAAATCTTTCTAAAAAAGAAATCCCAAACCAAAAAGATTGATTCACTAGTAAAATCACAGCTGAATAAAGATACAGTAAATTGTAGTCACGTATTTCATCCAAGATTTATAAATAAAACGAACATAGAGTTCTCTGAACAAGAAACTAATCTTTTGAACAAAGGATTAAATTATAATTTTCCCAATGATAAGAAAAATAGCTTGATATCAGAACTACTAAATGCAGAAACAACTGTAAAATATTTAAACAACAATGACGCACGTGATACGGCAAGAGTAATGATCACAAACAAAATGAAAAAAGCTGTCTTAAATCCAAACATTAGAAAATCATACTTGACAAAATATAAACCTTTAAAACAAGTTGCTGCCAACATTAGGGACAAGTTAGAACAAAACAATGCCGTTATCACAAAAGCTGATAAGGGAAACTGCATTGTTATCCTCAGTAAAACTGAATACGTAAACAAAGTTTGTGAATTCATCACAGCCAATAATATTGACACATTAAACTGTGACCCTACTGCTACCTACTCCAAAGAAATAAATAAATTGATATCCTCGTCAACAAATCTTTTGTCTAAAGATGAAATAAAGCAATGCAAAGTTACTAAACCCCAGGCTCCCATCCTTAGAGGACTACCGAAGATCCACAAACCTGACACGCCCATCAGACCACTAGTAAATTTCAGACCCTCACCAGCCTATAAAATTGCTCAAAAACTTGACAAAATAATTAGGAAAGAGACCGCCTTAGATAACGACCATAGTGTTAAGAACACAGTTGATGTAGTAAACCAGCTCTGTAAAATTAAACTAAAGGGTTCTTATACTTTAGCCTCATTTGATGTTGTGAATTTATTCACAAACGTACCCATTGATGAAACCATCGACATACTTGAATCTAATCTAGATAAAAACTCCTCCTTATCAACCGAGGCTAAAAATGAGTTAGTTGATCTCACTAAAATAGTCCTCAAACAAAACTATTTCACGTTTGAAAATAAATACTACACACAAAACGAAGGTTTAGCTATGGGCTCTCCACTTTCAAGCGTCCTTTCAGAATTGTTTCTAAACAATATAGAAAATAAATTTTTATGGTCAGATTCCAACAAACAAAAAGATAAAATAGTTCACTACAGCCGATATGTGGACGACACATTAATCTTATTCAATGGTAATGAAAGGCAGATAAAGATACTTGGAAATTATTTGAACAATGTCCACCATAAACTAAAATTCACCCTCGAAACCGAAGCTAACAAATCAATTAATTTTTTAGACGTAACAATAACAAGAACTGATCACATCATGGAATTCAAAATCTACAGAAAACCAACAACAACTGACCAGACCATCCATTCGTCATCACACCATCCTTTCAACCACAAGACAGCTGCTTACAATAGTTTCGTTCACAGACTATTATCCATACCCCTTACCACAGAAAACTACAACAATGAAATAAACATTTTGAAGCACATCGCCGTTGCCAATGGATATGAAAGCTCTCTCATTGATAAACTTATCAGAAAACAAAAAAATAAAACAAAAGAGATTCTAGAACCCAGAAACAAAAAGTATGTATGTGCTGAATTTGGAGTAGTACTCAATAACACCTTGAGAAAAGAAATGGCAAAGAATGATGTACACGTTGCATACAAAACATCTAACAAATTATCTACTATGCTTAAAGAAAAAAATAAAACACATTCCGATAAAGTAAACAGCACAGGTATTTACAAAATGACATGTAACGATTGCCCGAGCTTTTACATCGGCCAAACTGCTCGCTCTTTCGCTACTAGGTTTAAAGAACACCTACCCAAAAAGAACTCGAAATCAGCATTCGCCAACCACATAATTAATGCAAACCACAACTACACGGACATACATAGTAATCTAGAAATTATGCATTTATGTACTAAAGGCAGATACATGGACACAATAGAGGAGTTCGAAATATACAAGGCATCCAAAGAACACCCTGACCATATATTGAACGAACAAATTTCATTCAGATCTAATATCATCTACAATACTGCCATTCATTTAAACCAAAACAAAACTGGTCCTGATAAAGGAGTTGGGGGGGAGGGGTAACAGCTGATGCTTGGACACACGACAGCAGTCATGACGCAACATCCATCGGCGCCTGTCTCGTGTGTTCGTTACTTGGCCAAGTTTGTAAATTCGTGTTTTTTAAATGTTTTTCGTGTATTATGTGTATATAGACATATTTATTTCGACAAGTTCATCTATGAATGAATGCTGTTTTATCTAACGTTCTGCCAACAACCTGATGATGTACCCTAGTGGTATGAAACAGCTGTAGTTGTACTAACTACACACGGATCGTCCGACGCAAAAAGGTAAAATAAACCATTTTTATAAAAATCTCACGTAGTTAATTTTAAAGCAGTTTCCTGTTTTTGCTAAGCGGTGCTGGGGAAGGTCAAATTTGTTTTTTCCTCTTGTGTTGTGGCTATGGAATGTTTTTCTATTATTGAAATCTGTAATATGTAGTTTGGTATAAATGAGAATG